GCATAGATGAATAAATGTTGATGAATATGTAACAGACTAACAGATTTCATTACTTCATATTAAACCCATTTTGTCATATATTTATTTTATTTATATATTTTTTTAAACATGCTTGTTGTCTCCCACCAAGGCAGGGTGACCTAAAAAAGAAACACTTTCATCATCATTCACACTATCATTGTCTTGTTAGGTCAAACACCTTGAGTGAAATGATTACTGAATGGCTTGTTCAGGCATTAGAGTAAATTATAAATACATTGTAATACAAAACAAAACAAAAAAACGTTTCTGCGCATATTGAAACAAAATGAATTTTAAGATTGTTTTCTAAATATAGTTGTTTATGCCCTTTTATAACAAAATTTTTTGGCAAATTCTACTCTGTATGTTTTTTGCACTGGTTGTGTAGCATAAAATACTAATTATATTTATCTAGACATGTTGTTCTGTCAGATATATCCCTCCCATCCGAAGTAGTGGTGGCGAACGAACAATAGACCAGCTGCGAACAGTAGTAGAGATTGAAGAAGAGATGATGAAGCAAGAGTCTCTCTTAGGAAACCTTCATGCTCAAGTGGCAAGAGGAAATGTCTCAAGAAGGAAAGAGGAGAGACTCTGGGAAGCTCAGAGAATAGTTACTCTTTTGAAGGTACTGTATATTCACTTTCAGCAGATTACATGGAAATAATTAGTGTACACTTTACACCTACCATCCGACTTACGACCTGCTCGACTTACGACCGTGTTTTTTATGCCAAATTTCTGGGAAATAAACAACTATGTGTTGTACACAGTGTTTATCCTAAACCTTACAGTATAAAATACAGTACTAACAGCATAAAAAGTAAAGTAAAACATGAAATACCAAAATAAAACAATAAAATAAAGTCATTACAAAAATGTTTTGTTGATATTCAGTAGTAAAGTTTGACTTACGACCATTTCGACATACGACCGGTTTCTCGGAACCGAACTCAGTCGTAAGTCGGATGGTAGGTGTACTTGAATATTGTGCATTTGTATTTCATCAGGGTGTTACAGTAAGTATAAAGTTGCCAGGGAGTTCAAATTATAGTTTAGAAACGAAAATTTTAAATACAGTAGAATCCACGTATCCACTGATTTGGTATCTGCATTTTCAGTTATCCACAGTTTACTGTGGCCCAATAATACCTCTTAATTTTGCATAATAATAGCCCCAAAGCATGAAAGTAGAGAAGCTGTGAAGTGCTTCCCATCAGTGAAAAAGTGATAATTCTCCACTTAATGTGCATGATTTATCAATTAAACTTTACAATAGGTATGTGTAGGACTTATATACTATAGGGTTTTGCTACTATCTACGGTTTCTGTATCTGCGGCAGATCCTAGGAACTTGTCCCCTGCGGATACGGGGTCCTACTGTACTTCAAATAATGTATTTCTAGCAATTCACTATGTTTCTTTATTTAAATATTTAACCCTTTCAGGGTTGCCAGGCCCTCTCCGAGACTTGTTCTCAGGGTCGCCAATTTTTCAAAAAAAAAAAAGTATTTTTTCTTATGAAAAGATAATCTTTTCCCGATCATAATGACACCAAAAGTATGAAATTTGATGGAAAACTTACGGGATTAAGCTCTCGCGAAGCTAGCGGTCTCGATGATGTTTATGCATCGGCGATTTTGCCCACTTTGAGCCCTATTTTCAGCCAATTCCAGTGTTCTAGTCGACAAAAATCATAACTATTTCGCTAGAACTCCATTTTTTCTATCGAATGAGTACAAGAAACCACCCATTTGCCGATTTCAACTATCCAATACGGTGGTCAGAATTTAGCAATTTTGCCAATTTCACACAAATTTCAAAAGATGCCAATTTCCAAATAGGGTCCAGAATAAACAAGAAAGACATTCCTGGCACTAAAATAACATTTCCTCTGTTCATTAGTCATGTCCCCATGCCCCTCTTACATTCTTTTGCTTTCCACAAAAAATAGAAGATTTACTGTTATGCAGACTACTGCATTAGTGTAGAAATGGTATAAATAATATCGGCGCACTTGTGAAAGAATATTAGACTCACCAGTTGACGTGTATTGGATGCTTAGCATGATTTGTTTACTTTTGAACTTTGGTAAAAATCGAACATTTCTACTACTTTGAGCTCAATTTCAAGGTACTTTTCATTGTAAAACCAGTCAAAATCATCTCAATTTCTGTAATATGTCTTCCATTCTATAAAATGAGACCAGGAAAACTAGAATACAACAGTAAATACCATACGAAAATGCAGTGCAAAGTCGCTGTTTTAATCCAAAAACACGGTCAAAGTTTTTTTGTTCTCATTACACACTGTGTGCCGCAGGATTTTTTTTTATACTGAGCACACTGACCACATAGACCCATTCTTTCATATGTAGGCCTACCAGCTTTCTCTCACTAGATTTGAGGGCGCTAGAATTTAGGCGACTAGTACGTCAACCCTGGTGCGTAAGCCGTACCAGTATGGCTGAAACCCTGAAAGGGTTAAATATAAATTTATTATTTGTTTTCCTAGACTGAACTACATTTCCACCTCTTGTCATATATGTATTTATATAACTTTTCTCTTCCTCTTACTGCCTGTAAATTTTATTAGTATTGCTCTTAGATATTTTTAAATGAAATTAAATGGCATTTACACATATGACTAATAGTAGTTGATAAATGGAGCAATCTGCTTTGTAGGGCCATTGAAATAAAACTTTGGCTAGCTTTAAGTATAGGTTGGAGTGTGAGCAGGGTAATATTTAGTGAAGGGATTCAGGGAAACCAGTTAGTTTTATATAGCCGGACTAGAGTACTGGAAATGGGAAGTACGTACAATGCCTGCACTTTAAAGGAGGGGTTTGGGATATTGGCAGTTTGGAGGGGTATGTTATATATCTTTATATATGCTTCTAAACTGTTGTATATGGGCACCTCTGCAAAGTCATTGATTATGTGTAAGTGAGGTGAAAGTGTTGAATGATGATGAAAGTATTTTCTTTTTGGAGATTTTCTTTCTTTTTGGGTCACCCTGCCTCGGTGGGAGATGGCCGACTTGTTGAAAAAAAAAATTATTACAGCCTCTCCTCACTTAACAATGGAGCTCCATTCCTAAGACCACATCTGTAAATGAATTTATCACTAAGTGAGGAGCATACTATAATGGTAGTGGGTTTGTGTCAACCATCTTTGATATTGTTTTAATGTCACCTTTGCACTATTTATAACATTTCTGGTATATTTTTAAGTTTTTATGCAGTAGTGTACTGTATATTGAAATAAACAGAATAGAGAAAATCAGCTCTATTTAGGTGTAAATTGGTCAGAGAGCCCATCGTAAGTCTGAGGCATCTGTAAACGAGTACATCACTAAGTGAGGAGAGGCTGTATTAACACATTGGCCACTTCCCACCAAGGCAGGGTGGACTGAAAAAGAAAAACCATCATCATTCACTCCATCACTGTCTTGCCAGAGGCATGCTTACACTACAGTTATAAAACTGCAACATTAACACCCCTCTTTCAGAGTGCAGGCACTGTACTTCCGATCTCCAGGACTCAAGTCCGGCCTGCCAGTTTCCCTGAATCCCTTTATAAATGTTACCTTGCTCACACTCCTACAGCACATCAAGTCCTAAAAACCATTTGTCTCCATTCGCCCCAAGCTAACACGCTCACGCATGCTTGCTGGAAGTCCTAGCCCCTCGCACACAAAACCTCCTTTACCCCCTCCCTCCAACCTTTCCTTGGCAAACCCCTACCCTGCCTTCCCTCCACTACAGATTTTTACACTCTGTCATTCTGTTTTCGTCCCATCCTCTCTACATGTCTGAACTACCTCAGTAACCCATCCTAAGCCCTCTGGATAATGGTTTTGGTAGTCCTGCACTTCCTCCTAATCTCCAAACTACGGATTCTCTGCATTATATTCACACCGCATATTGCCCTCAGATGTGACATCTCTTCTGCCTCCAGCCTTCTCCTTGTTGCAACACTCACCACCCATGCTTCACACCCATATATGAGTGTTGGTATAACTATACTCTCATACATTCCCCACTTTGCTTCCATGGATAAAGTTCTTTGTCTCCACAGACTCCTCAGTGCACCTTTTTCCCCTCATTAATTCTGTGATTCACCTCATCTTTTACAGACCCATCTGCTGATATTTCTACTCCCAAATATCTGGAAACATTCACCTCCAATCTGATATTCAATCTTTTGTTACCTACCATACCACGGGCGGGATTTGAACCTGCGGTCAGAGAGTCTCAAAACTCCAGACTCTCTGACCGCGGGTTCAAATCCCGCCCGTGGTATGGTTTGTTTACAATCTTGTCATTACGATTTCGTGAGTCAGTTTTGTTACCTAATTTTTTTGTTAACCTCATCACCTTACTCTATTAGATAAATACAGTTCTATAACCGATGGACTTTGTTGCTGTTTCTGGAATTAATTTAGCAGTTTACCCAGTGGATCATAACAATAGCGGAATATTCTGTAATCATTGGACTTTGTGTATTGTGTCTGAAATCTATTATAAAACATTAGGGACAGTGTTGTAATCGCCCAAAAAATTATGCAGCTGCCACTATAGTGCACTGTGGTATGCTTTTGATTGGTGTATTTGACAGCAGCACAATTTAGTTTCAACTACATAAGTTATGTATTAAAGCACATGGAAATGAGTCTTATGGGTTATAATTTTCATTGAGTTCTCTCTCTAACTTTTTTTTCCTCTCTGAATAGAGAAAATTGAGATCAGCACAAAGGAGAGAAGAAGAAGAAAAGCAAAGAAGAAGAAATGGAAGTAGCAGAAAGGACGAATTGTCAGTTGAGTTTGAAAAGGAATCTACCTCGGAGGATTCCCAAAAAGACACAGATATGGAAAGAGAAGATGTATCCTCTAAAGAAGCTGCTTCAGATGACTCAAAGCATGGTAGTGAGAGTGAAAATAGTAGTGGACGCTCTAGAAAAATATCAAATTCAGAAAATAATGTGACGGTGGTGAATGTGAGTGCTGATTCTCTTAGTAGTAATGAGAGGGAGAAACAGAGTAATGATGACATTGGCAAAGATGGATCTCTTGTAACAAATTCAAGTGTAGTTCCTCCTCCACAACCTCCCACAGCAATTCCAGCCCTCCCTAAACCAGTGTCAGCACGAACTGAAAGAAGCAAAATAGCTCAAGCCTTACAAAGTGACACCAAAGAACAGACTAGCGAAAAACCTGCCCCAGTTGTTACAGAAGACACTAGTAGTGTGGAAGTTGTAGAGGAGGTGGTAGAAAAAATAACTCAGGCAGAAAAAGTAGTTCATGACTCAACAAAGAATCTCAGAGTGGAAGAACAACATGGACACGTTACTGTGATCCAGGTTGGTGTAGATATTAGTGGATCAGGAGAGGGACAATGTCACTCAGGTAATTCTCGACTTGATCAGTCTCAGGTACTGGTTAATCAGAGACCAGAAATGAAAAGATTAACTGTGGACAAAACTCCCCTGAGAGAAACACGGAGCCTGGATGATTCAAAACCCAAAGGTTAGTACAGTCATGAACATTTAAATATAAGAGTGTCATGTGTATTTTCATATTTTCAGTACTGTTTTTGGTCACTTTTCAAAAAAGGAAGCTTTTAGTCAATGTTCTTATAATATTTCTGAAATGTGTTTCAAAATTACCTGTTCAAGATTCTTGATAATGTTTCCAGGTGACAGTGAATATTTGGCACTGTTAACCCAACAAGCCATAGCTCAGGCTCACCACGAGGAGCTCTTGTCTATGAATCACGACCTGATGCGCAAACTGCAGGCAGAGCGGGCTGAGATCACCAGGCTGAGGGAGGAAATACAAGAAATGCAGACACTGTATGGTTATAGGTAAAAGCTATAAATATTGGCACTGTTTGTAGGTTTACAAAAAAGTCTAATTTCCTGTAGTATTCCTTATTTTCAGCAGTGAAGAGTTATTCCAGGACAGCTGGATTAGTGACTTAAAACTTTCTTCTCTCCAATTCATTAAATGTTATTAAAGTTTTTTTTCTGTAGCTTTATCTTGATTAGTTTTGGAGATCTTAGCCTAACTACTATTAGTAAATGGACAAAACTCAGATTCTCTGAACTCTATTTATACTTCACATTGCTCTCAAATATGAGATCTCATTTGCCTCTGTCCTCACTGCAACATTCAGAAGCCCATACCTCACACCAGTATAAAAGTGCTGGTGCCACTGTACTATGGTATATTATTTGTTTTTCTTCTATAGCTATAACTTCTTTCCATACCCCTCCACGGAGTTCCTTGATCCTGGTGAAGGGGCTCTTGTTCCAGAATTGAATCTGCCCTCCCCTCCCGTAAATCAAACCTGAATGCTTCCCATCCCCCAGGCTCTGTATGACCCTTAGCAGGTTTAGCACTCTCATGTGAGTGTAATAACAATCTTTCCACAGATGCCTCACCACACCTACCTTTTTCTCCTCATCTGTTGTAGCTCACCTCATTTATAGACCCATCTGGTTACATGACGACTCCTGAAAATCTAAATAGATCCACTTCCACCATACTCCCTCCAGTATGATATTCGTTCTTTCATTCCCTAGACTGTTTGTTTCCCTCATCATCTTCCTCTTTTTCTATGTTCGCTTTTAATTTCCTACTTTTACATAGCCCCCCAAGTTCATCCACCAACCATTGCAACTCGGAGGTAGGCAGTGGCAAAAGTCGTCAAGTGGGAATAAAGACACTGGTAACAGAGGATGCTTTTAATACAATGTTTTGCCCAAGGCTGGGCTTTATCAGCTATCTTGATAAAGTCCAACCTTGAGTGAAACATTGAAAGAATCCTCTGTTCCCAGTGTCTTTATCCCGACTTTGCAGCTTAGCTTCAGGATCTCCCAAAAAAACCGTGTCATCAGTAAAGAGCAACTGTGACAACTTTCACATTGTATCAGACAACATCTTGTAAACCCACATCTCTTCCCCAAACTATAGCATTCACTTTTTCAACCCCATCTATAAGTTTTTTTTTTTAACATGGCTGTTTCCCACTGAGGCAGGGTGACCCAAAAAGAAAGAAAAAACTTTCATCATTCAACACTTTCACCATCACTCATACATAATCACCATCTTTGCAGACACGCTCTGATACAACAGTATAGATGTCTCTCCAAGCTGCCAATATCTCAAACCCCTCCTTTAAAGTGCAGGCATTGTACTTCCCTTTTCTAGGACTCAAGTCCGGCTAACCGGTTTCCCTGAATCCCTTCACACTCCAACAGCTTGTCAGGTCCCAAAAACCATTTGTCTCCATTCACTCCTATCTAACACGCTCGCATGCTTGCTGGAAGTCCAAGCCCCTTGCCTACAAAACCTCCTTTACCCTGTCCCTCCAACCTTTTTGGGGACAACCCCTACCCCGCCTTCCTTTCCCTTCAGATTTACATGCTCTCCAAGTCATTCTACTCTGTTCCATTCTCTCTAAATGACCAAACCATCCCAACAACCCCTCTTCAGCCCTCTGACTAAATACATTTAGTAACTCCACACCTCCTAATTTCCACACTACGAATACTCTCCATAATATTTACACCACACATTGCCCTTAGACAGGACATCTCCACTGCCTCTAGCCGCCTCCTCGCTGCAGCATTTACAACCTGTGCTTCACACCAATATAAGAGTGTTGGTACCACTATACTCTCGTATATTCCCTTCTTTGCCTCCATCTGTAAGTATGTTAAAAAAAAAAAACTATGGTGACATCATGCATTCCTGTCTTAGTCCTGCTTTCACTGGGAATTAGCCCTCTTACATACCCTAACCTGAGCCTCTTTTACTTCTTTTATTAACTCACCACCTATTCCATAATTTGCAACATCTGCCACAATGCTTCCCTATCCACACTATCATATGCATTTTCAGAATCTATAAATTTAACAACCAGCTACTTTCCCTTATCTAAGTATTCTTCACATATATGCTTCATTGTAAGCACTTGGTCTATACATCCCTACCCTTCCTAAAGCCTCCTTGCTGTTCTACAACCCTACTTGTTTTAACCTTAACTCTTTAATAATAATTTTACCATATTCTTTTTTTTTATGTTCTTAGTTGGCTTATCCACCTATATATAATTCTTACTTTCTCTCTTGGTCCCTTTTCCTTGTACAATGGAACTCTGCATGCCTTTTGCCATGAGGTTTTGTGTGCAAGGGGCTTGGACTTAGAGCAAGTATGTGTGTGCGTGTTAGGAGTGAATGGAGATGAATGGTTTTTGGTACTCGACGAGCTGTTGGAGGGGGAGCAGGGTAATATTTTGTAAAGAGATTCAGGAAAACTGGTTAACCAGACTCAAGTTCTGGAAATGGGAAGTATAATGCCTTCACATTAAAGGGGTTTGGGATATTGGCTGTTTGGAATGACGTCTGAACTGTCGTATCTGGGCACCTTTGCAAAGATAGTGATTATGTGTGAATGATGGTGAAGTTTTTTTTTTTTTTTTTTTTTTTTTTTTTTGTCATCCTGCCTCGGAGGGAGACAGTCGACGTGTTAAAAAAAAAATACACCAACCACTCCAAAACTATATCCCCACCTGCTTTTAACATCTCTGTCTTAATCCCCATCTGTCCTAACTGCTTTATCCTCTTTCAGTCTATCCACTGTCTTATGCACTTTCCTTACACTCCATTATGGCTCTTCCTTCTATTCCTCCCTGCCAGTGCATGCAATCACTGCCTCCCTTTCTTCATCAACATTTAATAGTTCTTAAAAATATTTTCTCCTCTTCCCAGTGCCTGCGCCTCTCCATCTAACATCTCCCCTCTTTCATTTTTATATGCTAAATCCATTTGCTCCTCAGGTTTTTTCAGCCTATTAATCTCCCTTCTAAACTATTACAAATTCTTGGCAAAATTAGCTGGTAGATCCTCACCCATTCTCTCATTGGCTCTCATTTTGCATTCCTCCACACCTGTTTGTATGTTGCTGTATTACCTTTGGTATAAAAAGTCAAGAGACACATTTGTTGCTCTAGGCTTTGACTGTTAATGTCCACTCACTACATTGGCAGGTTTTTGTGCATTTATGCATGCATATGTATAGTAATTATTTTCACATAATCCTCAGGACGTACTCATATGACAGCAGTGAGACCGAGGGTAGTGAAAGTGACGGGGAAAGCGATACAGAAGAGGAGATGTTGACTCAACTCTCCTCAGTTACAAAAGCGAATGCTTCGCTTCAGGTAATATAATTAAGTTTGTCACTTTCACCTGCTTCACACTGATCCATGTAAAGTTCTTAAGATTTAGTATAACTTCCCTTTTTTTCCATTCTTCCTAGAAGTCTTCAATTTTGGAGGGTATCTTAGCAGTTTCAAAAACTCTGAATCTATGAACTCTGACTAGGGAGGAGTGAGTATATGGACCCAGCTATGGTGCTGGGTCTCCAGAACACTTGAGGAACCTCCTGGTAACACTCCCACCATGAAAGCTTGCTCTCCTTTGTGCAGAACCTATGCTGCCTTTTAGTAAGGGATTTAGATAATGATAGGGCTGATTTAAATTTTTCTTTTAGGAATTGCAGTTCTATGTAATACAAAAGAAATAATGATAAATCTGGACAATTACAAACAATGAGGAAAGTATTATGAAGAACCTAATGCATTGTAGTTTATTGATATGAATGCCCAAGTCTGTTTTGGAGTAAAATGATTGTAGAAGATGGGGACAATATTTTCAGTTAATTGGAGGGAAATAAATAAGTGTTGTTCACATAGCTGCATTCAGCCTGGATACTGTATTAGTATTTTATGAATTTAGAATGTTGATGGCATTTTTATACTGTATATACTATAATTTTATGTATGTTTTTTTTAATAATTTTATTGTATTTCTTATTTGTTTAAATTTGGTACCATGCTAGGACTATACGGTATTTTTTCTTTTAATGCATTGGCTATTTCCCAGTGAGACAGGGTGACCCGAAAAAGAAGAAATACTTTCATTATCACTTACTCCATCACTGTCTTGCCAGAGGCATGCCAATACTACAGTTCAAAAACTGCAACATGTCTCACCCTGCCTTGGCAGGAGATGGTCACTGTATTAAAAAATATAAATTGTGTTATAACATCTATTTTTACTGCCCAGGAGGAAAATATGGCTCTTACACGTCGCATACAAGAGGAGCGTGATGCTGTGGTGCATCTTCGAGTCCAGCTCCAGCAGGCTCATTGGAAATGCTTCCCGCATCAATCGCCAATTGCACCTATCTGCTAGTTTGTGTTACTAGTACCCTTTTTTATTCAAATTTCATAATTTTCCATTCCCTCATCTTGGGAGTATGTCATGGCTGTTATTAGGGTAGGGCCTCCATGAACTGAATATACTGACATACTGAAGTATAAGTATTGTATTATACATGATATAAAGATCATGCCTCAATTATATCTTTTGTAATGAAAGATTTTTTTAATTGGGGCCCCAAATCCCTAAAGGTCTCAGAACTAACTTAGCCAGTAAGTATGTTTTGAGGTTATGTATATTTTCATAACATGATGTAAATTTTTCATGTCATTATCAAATGATCATTTTCATTAACAATAGAAATAGTATGAATGCAATTGAAAATCAAATCTTGTTTCAGCCTGTATCAAAATGTCTTAGTTTTGTACATTTTTAAATATGAGATGAGTGGAATTTTTGTTGTCAGAAATGTCCATAGCACTTAAATGGATTAAACAAAGCTATGTAGTTTTTAGTTTTGGCACATGATTTTTCACCTTCATCAGCAGCCTCCAACAAGATATTAATTTTAGTGAGGGTATGGCAACATTGTGGCCACCCTAATCAATACCAGTCCATTATTATTTAAAAAAAATCATAAAGGTTTCTTTTACAGCTATTTTCTTATATGATGTTTCTAAATGTAGAATGAAGTGGTATCATGTAAGTCTAAACTTGAGTTGTGTACTTACATATCATAGTAGGCAGCAGGCTAAGATAGGTAATGAATACTCCTCTTTGAGCAGCACTATACTAGTTGATTTTCCATAAGAAAGCAAGCAATGAAATGTCCAAGAAACAGAAAAATGCTGCCTGTTTTACTCCAATATTAGCAGTAATTGTTTAGAAACTGGAGACAGTAAGTAATGTATAGTACATAGGAAGTGCCAAATGACAATTTTAATGTTATTCCTATGTCAAGGTAGATATTTTTAGGAGTTCCATGATTTCATAGTTTTGGTATCTCGTCTTACTCGAATTACCAAAGCAAGTTGAGGAATGAGTGCTGCAAAGTGAATTTTCGGAACTTTTTATACTGTTTTTCTACATAGCAAGGATAAGGTTTCCTAACTACCATAATTTGTTGCAAGGCTGGAATTTCTTCACTTGGAGTATTTAATTATACTATTATGGATGAGCTTTTACTTGTTAGAAGATACATTTTTTTTCAGAATATATGGTGGTTTTAAAGAAGTGATATATCATTCTCTCTGGTTATTGTATTGTATGATAATTGGCAAGAGAATTACCCCAAAACAGCCATCAAGAGTGCCTACTATAAATTACTGTTTATCTACCTGGGGTACTTATTTTCAAACATTATCAAATTGTTGTCAGCAAATGTATTAAGCTTACCAGTTGTTACTGCTCTTGCACAACCCACAGTCTAATAGAATATGTCCCCTTCATAGTGTATATAATGAAAGATGATAAATTATGGTAATGCCAGTTTAACCTGGAGAATGAGGAGGTTTTCTACACTTTGATTCATAAAGTGTGTGTGTGTTGTCTTGGTATTACATGTACTGTGTTACTTTTTGTCACAGACCTCAACATGAGTGGTTGTCTGCACGCTGCTAGGTGCAGCATGAAGATTTATATTTACTTGATCTGCCAGGTGGAACTTCTAACATGATATAGGGAATCTCTAGGTGAAAAAGTGTGTAAAAGCAAAAAATCTCAGTCAAGAGTAGGTATTGCTAAACTTTATTCATTATGGGAAGGTTGCTTTAAAACTCAGGTAAATTGTTCATGTCCAGAGCAGGACAGGTATCACATAATATGCAAGATTTCTTTTCTTTGATACACTTGTCACTTTTTTTCCACAATATTATTTTTAGATTGCAATAAAATCTAGAAAAAAATTACTTGTACCTAGAACTAGAAAAATTCATTGCTGATTAAATTGTAAATTATATTTTCTTACTTAAATGGTATAATTCAACATTACTGTTTGTTTATTGCTATTTCTCTTAATAAAATTGAAGCAACTGAAAATGAATGTTTAGCAAATGCAATCAAATCCCACTTGCCAGACAGACAACTCATTTCTGAAGCTAATGTTGAAACCTATAATGTTTATAAACTATCTTATAACTTCTGAAAATATTTAAGCCATAACTACATTTACAGTAAAAGGGTGATACCTGTATCTAAGATTGTGATAAAATATTTCCTTCTTAACAGTAATTGTTTAATAATTTTCTATATATATTTGTTTCATTAAATAGGTTTTTTGTATAGCTGCATCTTTCATGATTATCATATACAATATTTGCTTTACCTTTCTTTATAATTTTAAGTTAATTATTGCATGACTAATTGGAGTAACTTTTGTATTGTAAGTCATCTCTAAATTGGAGTCATTATCTAATGTTTTACCACAAAGCTTTAATACTGTACTGTATATATAATCAAGCATTTGAGAGGTGAAAACCCTTAACATACATACCAGTAACTCTAATTTATTTTTTCTGTCCATTGATTATAAATGATTTGAGCATCTTGATGAACTAAATGGAAAAGCAAGGTTATCAGTGAAACATTAATGGCAAATGAGAATCATGGCTGTGTTGAAAGAGAGAGAGAGGTTTGGGGAACAGAAAGAAAAAGGAATGAAAGCATCAGTAGTCTACAGCAACTATGAAATTAATATGTTGTAAATATTCCATGTACTGATTGTTAAAAAGTTATGAGAAATGTTTTATTTAAATATAGATTTTTGTTCTCAGTTACTAGAAACCTGAACTGCAGAGTTAGTTGTCATCTGTGGATGTCAGAACAGTCTTAGAAAGATGTGAATGTTAGAGATTACAGGATGTGTTACTTTAGAAAAGTTTGCCTTGAAAAGGTCTACTGTCGTTCTTGAAGAACTAAGGTGTGAAATGATAGTTTCTGAGATATATAAAAATTCAGCAGATCATTAATTTTACTATTATTCGAATCCTGTTATCTCTGAATACTTCTGTTAATTATACCATTGTTGTCATGACAGCTGTGTTTTCTTGGAAAGAGTGTATAAATATTTCTGTTGATATGATGATTTTTTTTTTTTTTTTTTTTTTTTTTTTTTTTTTTTTTTTTTTTGTCAGCTTTACCCCATTCCTGTTAAACTGAGTTAAAAAATATGATCTTCATTAGAAAAACTTAAGCAAGATTGATCATTAATAAAATTCTGTGTCCTAATGCCATCTCTCTTCATTCAGAATAGTTAGACATAGACACACACATGTCTTTCTTTTTGCAGCTTAGATGAACAGACATATGAAAAGCATACCTAAAAAAACAAGTACAGAAAGCACGCACGAAAAAGCGCTCGTAAAAACTGAAAAACGTTCCCAAAAACACAGGTTATAAGCTTTAACCTACAGGAACCCCTCAAGGAGGCTCCTTGATACTGGTGAGGGGCTCTTGATTTAGGGAATTGGATCTGCTCCAGTTCCATGAATTGAGCCTGAATGCCTTCCATCCCCCCTACCCACAGGCTGTATAATCCTAAGGGTTTAGCACTCCTCCATGATTATAATTATAATAAGCTACAGGGAGAGGCTAGTGGAAATGAATGTAATGACACTGGAGGGCAGAAAAAGCAAGGGAGACATGATAACAGCATGCAAAATATGCAGAGGCATTGATAGGGTAGACTGGGATAGGTTGTTTGAGAGGTGAGAAACAGATACTCGGGGCACAGCTGGAAGTTTGACACGGATGAGCCACAGGGATGTAGGGAAGTATTTTTCCAGTCTAAGTGTGGTTGGCAAGTGGAATGATTTCAACAAGGAAGTGGTGGAGGCAGGCTCCATACAAAATTTTAAGAGTAGGTACGGTAGGGCCCACGAGGTTAAGAGAGAGAGTGAATCTGGCAAGTGCCGAGTTGAGAGGTAAAACCTGGGGCTAAGACTTGTATAGATGAATGCATATAGGTGAAAAACAAACACACACAACACACACACACACACACACACACACACACACACACACACACACACACACACACAACAGACAGACAGTTGGAAGCTGAAGACACAGATGAATCACAGGGATGTTAGGAAGTATTTCTTCAGCCACAGAGTAGTCAGTAAGTGGAATAGTTTGGGAAGCAATGTAGTGGAGGCAGGATCTATACATAGCTTTAAGCAGAGGTATGATAAAGCTCACGGCTCAGGGAGAGTGACCTAGTAGCGATCAGTGAAGAGGCGGGGCCAGGAGCTCGGACTCGACCCCCGCAACCTCAACTAGGTGAGTACACGCCACACGCACGCGCGCAGGCGCATAACTAAGTCGGACATGCACATACTTCTTGGACTACAGTTGATTCATTTACACAATTATTTCATCCCTACACCCATTTTTTGTATGAATTATCAACTTACTTCCTTCTATAATATCATGGTTTTATACTTGGCTTATAATAGCTTGATTTATAGAAGGATGTCTTAGTAAAGGTTTTTTTTTTTTCACTAATGTGAGTGTATATGTCTTGTCAGTGTTCTCACTGGTTCAGGTCACTGATTTGTTTAACTAGTTAGAACTACTGTCTGTAGGTATACTGTATGTATATGCATGGAGCTGTAGCATATAAATGCAACAAATTAATACTGTACTTAATTTTATATGCTCTCACAAATCTCTCTTGAAATTTAAAAAAGAAAAAAAATGGATATTATGCCATGGCTGACTTTAATTGCAGAAATGCTAATTGCCTGACAAGCTCTGATAAATTGCAGGTTTGTGTCAGAACCTCTGCTCTGCTCTGAATATTGTAAAGCTCATATTGAAGTGAAGATCCCTGGTTATTTGAGACATATAATGCACTGTACTAAGTAAAGTTTCTTAATTGGCTGGTGTGTATGGTGTATTAAGTAGCCCTCTTAATTTATTTTTCATGTGACATCAACCCTTTCACAGCACAGTAAATATTTACTTAGTTTGAAAAGCCTATATTGGGCATCTCTACCTAATTTTAAGCTTAACCTAACCAAATTGCATCTTCAGATTGCACAAAATCAAGAAAGTTCATAAGGAACACAAAATGAAAAATGGTATCTGTCACAGTTACTTCAGTGCTGTAAGTTATGATGTTACAGGCTTCCAAAATCTCAGCCACTTGGAGAGCTTGCAGCTATGGTAGCATTTCTGTATGGGTAAGCCTTGATTTAAGTAGCCTTATAAGTTGACCCTTTGACCTTGAGACAATGCATCATTCCACACCTCTATATACAGTACATAAAGAAACTACCTTAATGAAGTTGCTCATCTTTTTCAAAAGTAAAAAAAAAAAAAGGTTACATTTCCTTACAAAAGCTGAATTGCTTAATAATCAGCATATGTCACAACAGAGAATGTCTACACCAGGAAATTACAGATATAGCTAGAATAGAAATTAAAACATTCATGGCAAATAGAAGAAGCACAAAAGAGACAAAAAGCATTTCAAGATATTGGAATAACCCAAACTACTTTTTCACATATGCTAAATCCTCTTGCAATGCTGGATGCCTACTCAGAAGACTTGTATACAGAAAACAACAAAAAATGAGTGAAATTCTGAAAGAAATATGAATATGTCCAGTTAGTGTACTAATACTATGTATATTTATTTTTTCATAAATTCAGCCAACCCTACAAAATATGTATTTGACATGCACTAATCTTTCAGATTTCATAAGGGAAGAGCAATTACTCCATGGTCTCATTTGTCAAATGCCTTTGTTCAATACCCATATAGATTACATCAGCATTTTGTCTTTCTTGTGAGGTCTTCATAATTTTGTAAGTGATCTAATAGTTGTGATAGGTAGAATCCTCCTGCTTCAAAGCTATGTTGACTTGGGTTGTGTAGTTCATGTTCCTCCATAAAGTCAGTAATTTGGCATCTCGGAATCCTTTTAAAGATTTGTATGTGTAATATTATTGCTACTGGTCTAGAGGAGCTTCTGCCTATGAAAACTATTAAATCACAATTACAAAATTATGGAGGCCTCAGTAGGAAGAGAAAATGTTGATGTAATTTACATCGAGTTTTGCAAAGGCATTTGACAGATGAGACCATGGAGTAATTCCTTATTAAATGAAGTCAATAGGTATAACAGGAAAACAGGGAAATGGATATTCAGATTTCTGTCAAACCAATCACAAGGAGTGGTAGTAAACAAAAGTCCAGTCTTGGCAAAGTAAAAAGTTCAGTACCCCCAAGGCATGGTCCTAACACCATTACTATTTCTCATCCTCATAGCGGACATAGACAAGTAACACCAATGAATGTTTATTTTTTCTGCTCTAGTATTATTTTTGCCTTGCCTTTTATTAAAAGTCGCCTCTTTTAAATTGGAATGCTTTGAAATGGACCAATTATATTAAATGAGGCTTGACTTTATTGTATGTCAGGCACAGCATAACATCCACCTTGAAAAAAAAAATTTGGAAATATAATTTAACTTACATCAAGTCACTTTTTCTTCTCTTTTACAACATTGAATAATCTAAAGATCACAGAGAGTGTTGTAGTTGAGAGTAAGGAGAGAGTCCTAACTTTTGTTCACATGAAACTTCACTATCTGAATCTTAACAGTTTTAAATACATTTTACCTTTGACCTCAGGTTTTATAAATAAGTCAAATTTATTACTAAGGGAGCTGTGTGTGAATGCCTCAAATGTCCAAGTGTAAGACAAATTTTGTTCATAAAAGTATATTGCATAATATTGTCTTAATCATCATGTGTTGTAGATATTTGATTAGTTATTTCTGTATTCTATTGGTTAAGCTATTGTTAGTTGCCTAAACCACATTGCACTACTAGGATGCTGGGTGTATATATCATGATCTTCCAGTTACTGTATTTGTAAATGTTGTTCTGTGTCAGAAAATCGGCAAATACGGTACCATGATTTTATGTACTTAAATTAACTAGTGATTAAAGTACTAACTAGTGATTCTAGTACTTAAATTAACCAGTGATTCTAGGGTTAATTTGTATTGCAGTTTTTTAATATAGAATATTATATATACCTTTTGTATATATAATATTCCATATATTTTCTAAAGTACTGTATTTGCTGATGAATTGTAGATTTATTTTATTGTGGGCAGAAATGTATGGAAAAAAAATTGTGAGCTTAAATGTGAAGGCAAATCCAGTAAGCCTGACATTTAGTACAATAAAATTACTAAATGAGTGAGTGAAAGCTTGACAAGAAGACTGTTAGGACCAGGCACGTTGACAGTTCTAGGTCTTAATGTTGTCTTTGTTTGCATAAAAGTTTATCTATACTTACATAGAATGTCTTTGTTTCTGCCCCTATTGAAGTGGAACTTTATCATTTATGCTGTACTCTCCGTGCATTGCTTTGCTATATAAAGCATAATAATTATTATAGTTATGATAAATTTCCACCTCAGTAGGGACAGAGACAAAGGCATAGCACTCTGAGCAAGCATAGATAATTTAAATTTTTGTGTAAAAAAAAAAAAAAAAAAGACAACGTAAGACCTAGAACTGTCAACATGCCTGGTCCTAGCAGTCTTCTAGCTCAGTTCTTACTCACTTATTTCATATTTTTATTATTGTATTGAATGTCTGTTAAGCAGACAGTTTTTCATATTACTGCTTTTGTCCACTAAACATTTAGCATTAATATGTGGATTTAGAAAAAATGTGATAGGGTAGATAGGGAAGCTGTATGGCAAATGTTATAAATGTATGAGCTAGGCAGTAGTTTCCTAAAAGCAGTTAAGTTTGTATGTAGGTAGTGATGCTCAGGTTTTTGATCCTTGCAGCTCTAACAAAGCTGCCATACGAGATGAAAATTAGTCCTAAAAGAAAAATTATACCAATGTAAAATCATTTATGGTGAGGGATGGGTGTATAGGCACTTGCAATGTTATCAAATCTTTTCTGTACAGTGGTCCCTCAAGTTATGATAATCCATTCCAGAGGATGCATCATTCCTCAAAACTATCATAACTCAAACCTCAAAATACATGGTTTTATGGTAATTTGTTCAAAGATCCCAGAACACACCCAATCTGC